AGGTTTTTCATATTCATTTTCTAATAATTTATTGGTATTTCTCAGATACATCATCGCCTGGTTATCACGCTCTATTTCGTGCTTTTCTCGCTGCTTACAATTCACACGAAGATATTGTACTTTCACCCGAGTATGTTCTCACAGGAAAGAGAATGCCGAACAAGTTTTACTTATTCTAGTGATATATGGCTGATGATAACAATTTACTTTGCGAAACATGTCAATGCAAACTCGGAAAAACTTCGACCCCTTTTTGTTGATCATGACGAAAAAATCAATCTGACAATCATACAAGTACAACCGGAACCTGAGTAAGTCGACGAGACTATATTTCGTACTCGGCTTTTTGAATATGATTTCAATCTCTAGTTGGGACAGATTTCTCGAAGATATGCGCACTTCTGTTAGTGCGAATGTGAAGAACGAGGTTGTCTCACTCTTAACCGCCAATTACTCAACAACAAACAAAGTCGAGTCGCTTTTATCTTGTGCCGTAGTTATGAATACGTTCAAAAACTATTTTGAATATGGATTGTTCATGACAAGATGTGGCATTCGAAAAGTACATTTTATGGGTACACTCGAAGATTGGACACTTCTTCGACAAAAAACCGAGCAGTTAAAAGCTTTCACCACGCCTGAAGATCAATTTTCAAGTTATGTTCAAGGCCTTTTGCCGATACTCGATAAATTCATTGAAACTTATCAAGATCAAGTCGATAATGAATTTTGGGATAAAATTTTCAATGTGGAGCACGTGGGTCGTGGCTCAGGGTAAGTTCATTTTCATATAGTTGACCATAACAAACGGTCAGTCGTATCTGTGTGTAGAAGCTGGACAAAACTCACCGGATGGTTCCTTCGACTTTGTTACGGTTTACACATGGAAACCGAATGCAATATCAATAAAGTTCGATTAGATTCTGTTGTTTCACCCGTTGAATTTAAAAGTGAATGGACGAATGAGAAAAAGACATGCTACGTCGTCGGTGGCTTTCACGGTATTGAAAGTCAAGATGAATGGCACAAGCCCGTCATGTCTTTGGCTATCGTCGACGATCTATCGACAATTACAAAACTGAAAGAGTGATTGAGAAACAAATTTCTTTTCTTTTCTGATTTTTCATAAATACACTCGAAATTTAGCTAATGAAAATTATTACGGCGATGAACGAACCTTTCGACACGGAAGGCAACCAGCACGATACCTTCGCTTGTTAGTGTAAAAAGATGCATATGAGGGGATATACCTTTGCCGATACGGTACAGTAGGAGTTTCTCTACCTGAACGGACATTTTGAATTATAAAATACCCCTCGACTTCAGTTGGTTTAAACATGCGATTCTTCATCTGACAAAATGGATATTTGGATCGAATCAAAGCACGTCTTCTTGCGATATTGAATAATGTTATTGTAGCGAAATAAGAGCTTGAATCATCGTTCTATACATTTTCGTCAAATAGAGATCATGACTTCCACAGAAGCGTTCTATTTCCCAACTAGAATAAGGTAACTTATAATGAAATTCAAAATAGTTGCATGCTTTATCGCAGAATAAGTGATAATCGATATCTTCTTCAAGTATACCATCATTCCTTAAAACCGATTTGATTTTCAATCTCTTAACATTGAAATCTTTGAATAAGAGTTTGGTTTCATCAATTATATTTGGATATGTTCCTGTCCGATCGAATGAGGCAATCAGTTGTTTCGAAGGACGATCATTGTAAAACTCAAGATATATCCATTTAAATCGATTGATCTGACAAAACTTTAAGAATCTTTCCATATCTTGGCCATCAACCGTCACCTGAATTTGAAATGATCCATTGATAGGACATGTTGAAAGTAGTTCATTAATTAAGATTTTGTATTGCGTACTTTTTTCTCCAATATAATCCACTACATCATCAAGATTTCGATCATTATCCAGAAACGTCCGTTTTATTTCATGAATCGAATGTGTTCGAAGTAACGGTTCAGTAAGATCTAAGTGTCTGACGCTCTCTATAGTTTAACATCCAAGTGCAGTGCATTAGCAGCTTCATCCGTATTTACAGCGATGCATCGAAAGCTTTCAAGATTCTCGTAAAATGCCATGCGTTTCAATCTTACTGGATTGTAATGTTTTGTTAATAAACTTGTTTTCTTTATGGACATCCTCGAAGAAATATAGTTGGAACATGATCAAATATTACGTTGACACTTGCTTATCTGTCGTAAAATATATCGTTCAGCTTTGTATTATTCGAATTCGTCTTGCACGTTTTTATCGAATGTTAATGTATCCAACGATAGTTTGATTCATAGCTGCATGTGGCAGTGTGATTATGAAGATGCATGTCAAACAGTTGTCATTACAGAGATGATCATATTTGCTTACTGTTCGGTGAAGTTTATGCATTTGGAAGCATCCGACCATCTGGTCTTATCGCAGCTAGTATTATCTGTTATCGAAGCAGTCAGGGTAAACCTACTTTTTACCCAGAATGTCCAAATTATGTTTGTTTTTGTGTAGGACTGAATCTTAATTGTTCGTTGTCGGTGGATACCATACAGTATCCACATCCACACTAGTAACTGGTGGACGAGGTAATAGTAATTATTTTCGTAGTACTGAATTGTATTGATGTACGTACATTGTCATGCGTACATTAAAGTTTTCATATTAGCCAAAAACTTCGCTATGGTAAATTTACATTTATTGTAATAAAAAAGAAATTACTGGCTTTGTCACTAATGCCTCGCTAGTTATTTCCTTGTTATCTGAATAAAGAAACAAAATAATGCTTCTCTATAAACCACTAGAAAGAGTATTGACACTTGTACATGTAAATTATCGCATGTGTGTAATCTTTCTGTCAATTCAACATCAATTGCTTGTTCTTACTAATAGCCCACGTTTTATTCCAAAAAGAAAAATAATCGTATTCTTTCTATCATAGCTGTGAAGATGCGAATTGTAAAGTTTACATACGTCGTTTTTCTTCTCTTTCTTTTGTCAACAGAACATAATGATGAAACCTACAGCAGGGTTTTGTATTCATATTTACATCATTGTATGCAATTTTACTTATTGAAGAACGAAGAATCGTTGCATATGCATTTTTGCAGTTTATTTCAACTTTAGATGTTCGTAAGGTAAATGGAGACCAAAAGTAACAAATGGAAATCAAACGGAATTACTATTGCCGGAGGAAATGAATGTGGAAGAAATGCGAATCAATTGAATTATCCTCGAGGATTTTATGTTGATACTGATAAATCTCTGTATATTGTTGATTGGGGGAATCATCGCATTGTTCATTGGAAACACGAAGCCAAGTCCGGTCAAGTTGTCGCAGGTGGAAATGGGCGAGGAAATCGAAATAATCAATTGAATTATCCACGAGGTATTCTTTTTGATAAAGAAAATCAATCTTTTATCATATCCGATCGAAAAAATCAACGAATCGTCCGATGGTACCGTCACAGTAAGACCGATCAAGAAATCCTCGCTTCGGATATCGATTGCTGGGGGATCACGATGGATCGCAAAGGATATGTCTACGCAGCGATTTGTGAGAACAACGAAGTCAAATACTGGGAGAGTGCAGACAAAGACAGTAAACTGGTCGCCGGTGGGAACCAAGAAGGAGATGCATTGAATCAACTTCACGGTCCTACATGTGTATTTGTTGATGAGAATTACACATTGTATGTTGCCGATTATAATAATCATCGGGTTATGAAATGGGCACGAGATGCCGAAGAAGGAATTGTTGTTGCCGGCGGCAATGGCAAGGGAAAGAGTTTGAAGCAACTATCTTGTCCAGAAGGAGTGACAGTCGATCATTTAGGACGAGTTTATGTAGTCGATTGTGCGAATCATCGAGTTATGCGTTGGACGAAGGGCAAAGACGAAGGCGAAATTATTGTGGGTGGGAATGGGCAAGGAAATGGATCGAACCAATTGAATTTTCCAACGGATTTAGCGTTTGATGATGAAGGAAATCTTTACGTTGTTGATTGTGACAATCATCGAATACAAAAGTACGAACCTGATGACTAATTCAATGTTTGCGATCGTTTTATTGTTAAAAAAGTCAATATTTAATTACCGAACAGTAAAAACAGTCATTGGCACAACTTGCGTTTTCTTCTGACAGAAAAAATTTCGGAAAAGAATTCGAATATCTCGATCGAGATATATAATAACCAGTTTTTCCATACTAACAGCGAATGTCACAGACACAACGCCAATCGAGTATAAAAGTTCGACGTCTACTAACATATGAATAATTATTGGCAGTCCACCGAGAAAATAAACACTAAATGAAATCATCACATTACGAAAGATTTCATAATCACGATCTCTCTTGCCCGTTCTGCTTCGCGCAACACTAGTTTTCCTACTCTGATATATTCGAATGAAGATAAGTACATTAAAGATAACAATCGACAGTATTGGAATAACATAATATGCAACAATGATATAATATGTATGTAATTCATACTTCGATGCCACCCAACAGAGTTCACCCGGTCGAAAATGGATGTCGGTTGTAAGAATAGCTGGTAACGGGACAGTTAGAATGACAATCCATCCGAATAAAATCACATAGAAATGTGCTTTATATGATGTTAACCATCGATATCTATTCCAAAGAACAATGAAGAAGAATCGCGAGATCACTTGCAATAAATACGAATAAACAAATGAGACCATTGACATGTATCCGAAATAACCACGCCACCGACATGACTCATCGCTTGTATCCCATTTGATGACTAAGAGATGAATATAGTTAATAAATTGAACAACACAGTATAACATGGATGCTAAACATGTGTTGCAAGTTAACAAACGAGTCACTGTATACAATTGTTTTGTCGATAGAATTATTATTAAAATGTATGAAGTAATAATGATAGAAGTGACTCCGAAAGCCATCGACAGAGGAGCAGTAACACTGTAATCTGTTTTGAAAGTTGTCGCTTCACTCGTTGAAAGATTCATATTCAGAAAAGTGCTTTTAACTAAAGGTTAGTTATATGTCTCTATATAAAAACATGTAAATTTGCTAAAAGAGCGCATCGTGGACGTTTTGTATCAAAATTATTAACGCATTTCTGAATATTTCTTTCTTTTCATCTTTCCAATTACATATTCAGTATGTGACGTACAGAGATTCATGCTTGTAGAAAACGATGTGGTGAAATAATTGAAATCGGCAGCAGACGGTTTCATTTTGATGCAATCACGCATTTCAATACAAGAAAGCATGCGTTTTTCTTATAATTAGAATGAACAAAGAAGTTCATAAATATTCAGCATTTTCAACTGGACACTATTCAGTATCTATGTAATGATCTTTCATTTCCGACGTCCGATGTATCCGTCAAGCTGATCAGATCTTTCATATCGATACTTGTGATGATGATGATGAGCAGACAATGTGTTATGCAGTAGAGGTGGCACATATGATAAATAAATATTCACTTTTTCATGTAAACCTATTTGCATAATAGCTTCGCATAACTGCAAGTGTGTTCTATGGTCATTTCGTAGAACTCGCTTTTTGTTATCACTATGCCCATGACGTTGCCTGTTGATATTGCTGGCAAACAAAGACATGAGGGACTTATCAAAAGATATTTATCTTACTAAAAGAAATAGTAAATACTGTGTATGTGAGTCAAATCTTTGCTCATAAACAATATTAAGAGACGATGCCGCGATCTAAGTTATAGAAACAGTGGAGTTCTACAACATGAGAATAAAACATCCGCTCAAATGCATCAGACTATTGTCCATATCGGTTAACATAACAAAGTAAATATCTACTCTGTGTGTCACAAGGGATTTTTCAATAAGTTTTTCGTTCGTTCTGTTGACTTGATAAGTGTTGCGTTGGTATATTTATATGATTCACTTATATATGCAATAGTGTAGGTTTTTTCCTGTATAATCGTGATGGAAATATCCGTTAGTCAGATTTTTATATGCGGATCACATTCGTGAGTTGTGTGCGTGTGCCTTATTTTCTATCTTTCATTCGTTATACGTTATTAAATAATAAACCGTATTACACCATTATAACGGACCTAGCACAATGTCTACGGTTACAAAACGTTCTACAAACGAAAATGGTATTTCCGTTGTTTCATTTGCAGTCATTTTTCAAAGTTTAAAATTCTAGAAATTAGCACAGGCTCAAACAAACGAAATCGCCGTAGTATAACCTGTCTATTGGATTTACCAGTCGAAATAATCCTGAGCATTTGTCGTTATTTATCACCAATCGATGTTCTTCGTTCATTCTATACGCCTGAGCAACCACACATTCACTTGCATCGCATTATTCATGATTATTATCAAAAAATCAATATGCATAAACTATACAACAAAGAATGGATTTATTTGTCTGAAGTGTTATCGAATTCAAGCCATCCTCTCCTACCGCATTCATTAACTCTTAGCAATGAATATATCCCCTGTATAACACAATATTTCTTCTGTAGATTACCTCCCGATATAGTCTGCTCAATCTTTTGGAATTTAAAACACTTGACAATGCTACATTGTTCTCCTAACGATTTGCTAATTCTCAGCGGAAAGGGTCATCTACTGCCAGCACTTCAACATCTCCACATCAGTGTTTCTGGACGCAAGTTGAGACATGACGACGACGACGAATACGATGATGATGATGATACTAATGGTATTCACCTGACACAAACCAAAATTTTGAAGTTTCTCATTTTCTATTCATTTAGAGTCAAATCAACAAAATCGGTACGACCTCGACCTACTTTATTTTATATTCAGTGATCAAAACTCTCTTTTACAAAACGTTGTCTTTGACTTTCCTGACGGACTGATACTGAATCAATTGTTGTCGCCAAACCGATCAATAGCTTCGATCGATTTAGTTCTAGAAACCATCGATGATTTGTATGTATTACTTAACGGACTTGCACCACATGTCGAAACGATGGCTATCAAGTTACGTCGATCACGAATACTTTGTAAGACGAGTTTTGGAACATTTTTCTTTCGCATCTAATTCGGTTCGACTTTTCAGCAAGTTTCCTCCCAAAAAGTCATCCACCATGTCGACAATTAAAGCGGTTCACGTTGTTAGAGACCGGTATCGACTTTTCCATGACTCATTTGGAATCAATTCTGACTTTTATGCCTTTCGTACTCAAATTAACATTGAGCATACGCAATACAAATGATATCACATTTTGCAATGGTCCAACATTTGAGTCAATTCTACACGATTACTTACCAGATCTCGGCCAATTTATTTATACAATGACGCATCAAATGAGGGAAGAAACATCAGTTGGCAGTTTCGATCGTTGGCCAATGAATGTCAGTTATTACGAAGAAGATCATGAATGCTGGCTCCATATGTATTCTTTACCGTGGCCAGTCAATAAAGACGACCGTAGGACATTACCGATTGTTAAAGATCCATTGAACCGAATAGTTCAATCAGGTATTGGACCGGATGAATGCGTCAATGATTTCATGATTACCAATGATCATCAATGGACGGAGTTGGAGACACGATTTCGACATGTTCGTCGAGTACGACCGTACTTGCCGATTAATATTTTATTACCATCGAAAATTACGAACGTGACTGTTCCAAAAGAGATCAGTAAGGACATTTTGCATATTCCAAAGTCCAATTTCCATTGTTTTTTCTCTACAGAGTTCAGTTCAGTCGATGCAATCGGTCAACCTTTTGTGCGTAGTCTAGTAGTCGGACGTCGTGTGACGAATGATACAGAGATCTTCAATCTCGCTCAACAATTTCCGAATGTTGAATTTTTAAGATTGCACTTTCCGTCGGATAAATCATTATGTGTGACATGTTTTCAAATGTTATTTAGCGTTCATGAAAATCTACATGGAAATCGCAGTTTTTGGAAGAACTTGAAACGTGTATCTGTGGTCTTGACAAGTCAAATTAAGTATCTAATCCCCAATGGTGATGTATATGTTTGGCTTTTGCGGAATACCGATTTAAAATATTCAAGAAAAAAAGAATTTTCTTTGTCCTCTTTTGATAAAACAATATCCATTTGGCTTTAATACATTCGTTTATGTTCGTACCATAGGCGAACGAGAAAAATACTTTTGTTAAATGTATTGATTCTATCGTTGTTTTACATATTGTTATGAAAATGAGTAACATTGGAAAAGAACAGCATGGAAAATATACTATTCCAGATGCTAATGCATCGATAAATACGGACGATTGTTTCCGCTCTTCAAACTTCTGCTTGAATTCATAATAGTATTAGTAAAAAAGCATGAGGATGGTGAATATTTTTATTTTGAACATGACGAAAATTTTTGAGTGATTCAGTTCATCAAGCAATTCTTTGGTTCTTAGAACAGTTTGATATTATTCAAAAGTGATCTTTTGAATAATTAACAATAGATGAATGTGATATACTATCATGCATAATGTTCTGAACGATGTAGATTAACATTATACAGAGTTTTTTCTATCGGCAAAAACTTTTCCTCTGAAGTCATCAGAAAAAAAGACATTGCTCTTGTTAGCAACTTCAAATTTAATGGAATTTTGTTCCGTTGATTATAGCTGATCGGAAATAGAACTAATTAAAAATAAAAGTTGCATCACCAAGAATAATAAACCTCCGTGCGGTATATTCAAACAATAAAAAAGAAAATGTTGCTCATAGTGTAAAATTTAATTGTTGAAGCAAACATAACAATTGAAGAGCTTGGAGTCATTTTTGTTATCAACTGCTCGTAAATACATCGCATTACTTACTAACATACGATTTTCAACCACGGCAAATTGCGAATCACGTTACAATCGACTTTAAAAACTGCTACGATGGACTCGTAGTCTTAACTTTTTTCTTTCAATTTCACCTACAACAGACTCGTATCAGCTCAAAACTCAACTCATATCAATACGTTTATTCATCATCACTTTTGTTGCATCCTTAGCCACTGTTACTACAGTTGCAACTATCAAAACACCTGGCCTCGATGAATATTACGACTCATACAACAAATATGCTGAAACGCTAAATTGCCCATGTTCAAAAATATCAATTTTGAATGAAAAATTAATGAATGTGAAGTACAGCCTATATCAATTTTGCTCAGGTAATTTTGTTTCGACTCTGTGGATTGACTATCTACTTTAATCACTTGCGGACGACTCATTGTTTCGTCTGGACTTTCCAGTGATTGGGGTATATATATATTTCAAGCTTTGGCATCTGTATGTGAACTGGTAAACGAAACGACTTTGAATAGCATAACAGAATTCTACGATAGGAAATATGTAACGATGGATGTGACATCGTTTGCCGTCTTTCACAAACAAACTGATATTCTGTTCGATTAGCTCAAATCATCAACCATTGCTGACTTTCTCTCGTCATTGTACATTGTTAAAGACACTTCTCAGATCAATGGTTTGTTGTCAGTATTGAGAACGAATGGAATATTCAAATTTCCGCCTGATGGGCAGATAGTCAATATAGAGTTTGCCAGTTACAACGGTTGTCGTTGCATAAACAGTTCTGAATGCGTTGAATCAGTATCGATTTATGATGATATTGCGGCTAATCGGATATTCGTAGCTCCTGGCATGTTCAGAAATTGTCAAATTATCGCAGCTTTATTACAATCAAATCTCGCCTGTTTCTACGATGAACTATGCTTCGACGAACTTGTGTCACACATAAATTCAAGTTTATCACTGAACATGACAAGAATGAATGCATCTGCCGTCAGTCGATTCTCAACCAACAGTACAACTCGCGAATTGTTAAATGAACTATTAGTAGAAGAATGGAATATATTATCGAAATTCGCTAACTATTTCAATGAATGCCGTCCAGTGGAATGCACTTAAATATATGAAGCAAGAAACGATTTTATATACATCTTAACGACCATAAAGTTAATTATCCCAACGCTAGTTCATCTTATACGGTATATCTTTAAAAAAAAAGAACTCAAATCAATCCTCAAAGTGTCTCAGTTGCAAACAAAGGACAGAATCGTTTGCAAGATATCGAAGTAGTGGATGTATTTTATTAGACAACAATTTTGCTTTGCTTCTGGATGTCGTGATTACATATCGATGCGAACTGGGAGAATATGGCTGAGGGAATTAATCTGCATCTTCGCCCATGTCTCTAAAGGCTGCTTGTATACGTTCATGAAGTTCTTCAAGATCATCGCTAATCTTTTGTTCGCTATCTTTTGTTGGATCCTAAATAAAGACGCTTGCCATGACTGAGTATATTCAAATCATTCGTATCTACCTTGAATTTCATACCAGCTAATTGATGAAGAATATCACTCAGATTAGTTTTAATATCGTTGAATGTAACTTTGTTTTCGGAATGTGATGTTGTCTCAACAAGATGTCGAGCTAATTCGTAAAAAGTGATTAGATTTCGAAGCATTGCGACACATTTATAAAATGGGCAATATTTGTCATGAGATGAGCAACTATCTTGTTGAAGAAAGTCCTCTTTGATCATTCGTGCGACTTCGAGTGTTATTTTGTCTGTTTCGGCTAATGAAGCCTTGCCCACGAGCTGTACTAAATCCGACAGGTCTTCTTCATTTTGCAAGATTTCCTTACACTAAACGGCAGACTGATTTTTCGAGAGAAAGTAACCAAAAAATGTATACTTTAGCCCGTAATGGTAGAAATTCTGGAAACTTCTTCTCATAATACTCATCCAGTACGAACGCACATTTACTGTATGACGAGAGCCAGTTCACTGAGGGAAAATGTTTACGTTGCGCTAGTTTTCTATCCAAACCCCAGAAGACCTGGACGACGTTCAGCGTTTGTATGGTCACTGGATCAGAGAAATCGCCACCAGGTGGAGAGACGCTAAACAGAAGCAAATATATGAATAGGGAGAAAAGTTAGCGCTAAGATTATTTACGCTCCGATGATAGTCACAGAACCTTCGCGCACTGGGTTACCTAAACATCGAACACGACCAGCACGTTCATAAAACGAAGCTAAACGAGTGCCTAAATAAGCGGGAAAACCTGCTTCTACAATCAGAGAACAACGTTTGTTTATGATCTTTCTGATAAAATGGCCTAACCCGCAGGCATTTCAGCTAAACGACCCGATATTTCACGCAAAGCTTCAGCCCAGCGTGATGTTGAATCAGCCATCATTGCAACATTGTAGCCCATATCGCGAAAATATTCCGCTAACGTTATCCCTGTATAAATCGATGCTTCACGAGCTGCTACAGGCATGTTTGACGTGTTCGCAACTAATGTTGTTCGCTCCATAATTGATACGTCTTTGCCTTCAACTTCCATTTTTAACTGTAATAGATGAATAAACAACTTTTCAATCATAGTATGCTGATGGCATTTGCTTTACTTTAGGGAAATCGCGTAGTACTTCCGCCATTTCATTTCCACGTTCACCACAGCCCACGTAAACAATAGCATCGCTATTAGAGAATTTTGAAAGTGACTGAGAGATGACAGTTTTCCCACAACCGAATGCGCCAGGAATAGCTGTTGTGCCACCCTGCACGCATCTAAAATGGGCCGATGAAGACTACTTTTTCGAAACAAATAGTTTCAAATGCATACGGAAATAAAGCATCTAGTATACGTTGACCTGTCAATAGCGGATTATTCGGTTGGAGATATTCTGCGACTGGTCGCATGCGTCGAACAGGCCATACTTGCAGCATTGTATGTTTCGTTTTCGTTCCGTCAAATTCTGTTTCAAGAACAACATCCTATGTACGAAGGAAACGTTCGATTTCAAATTTAAAGGAGAAAACCTAGTCAAGCATACTTCAAGTGTGTAGTTTCCTTCCGGTGCAATGTATGTTATGGTGCCTCTTGCTTTTGGATGGAGCATGATTCGATGTTCTATTAGTTTATTTTCTGTTACTCTACCGAATATATCGCCACCAGTGATATGACTACCAATCTGTATAATGAAAATAGATGAAGAGATATTTGTTAACGATCAAATAAGATTAACGCACTCGAAGACGCTGGTCAGGCTTGAAACACCATAAAGTAGATCGATTTAATGCAGGAACGTTGATGCCACGTGGAATATAAATACTGTTAGTATGATCATAGATAGTTTCAAGAGGTCGCTGGATACCTGAATACAAAACATGGTGAGATTTGTTCTGAATCAAAAGAAATCGTTTCTACCGTCGAAGATACTTCTCATAATACCAGGGCCAAGTTCAACTGATAATGGTTTACCTGTTCGTAAAACTGGATCACCAACCATCAAGCCCGCTAAAAACAAAAGAAATTTATCGATAAATCTAGTGAGATGTGAAGTTCATACATGTTTCTTCGTAAACTTGAATTGTTGCTAAATCATTTTCTAGACGAATAACTTCTCCGACCAATTCCTCATGACCAACTCGAACCTATATGAAATCAATCTTTAAATATCTTATCGAAAATAACTTCTATCGTACTAGCTCATTAATGGATGCCCCGGCCATATAATTAGCAACAACAACTACACAAAAACATCGATATTGAATTGATTATAAAAACTATAGAATTCCTACCTGGACCTGAGACTCCAAAGACATAGCCATAGTCTGATTCACGTTCGGTATCCATTACTTTTGGAAGATTATTTGCGCTCATCATCGTTTTCTCAGTTTCTCTGAAAATAAATATGCGAATAGCATGTACTTATGAACGACATCATGAATTACACATTGATTTTCAATTCAACAACCTGTAAACCCACATTTGTTAATTCGACCAATAAAAGTTTGCCAACTGTACATTGTTGAGTCATGAGATTGTCGTTATGCGTCACCATAACTGCTGAAACTTGATTTAATTTCTCCAGCAATTCTTCAGTGACTCATCCCCATTGATGTATTGTGCAAGAACAGGATGTAGGTGTAGAGATTGGATCACACTCTCACACAATGTTTGTCGAATCATTTATAAGATGATTTATTGAACGAATAATAGACAATATACTGAAGAGATGATATCATTCAAGCTTTTGTAATATATATTTATGAATGTGTGGTTTTCATGTGCTACTATCATAACCGAAAGATAACAATTGATGAAGCGATACAACGCTTCTTTTGATTCTAATCATGCCGTGATTGGCCCAAAATGTTTATTTTAAAGACGGTCGAATCATTTTCGTTTTGATTCAGACGGATGAGGTCAACTTTCCCGCCTATTCAACTTTCAATGGTGTATAAAACGTGATGTTACTGTTTCATCTATTCATTCGTAATGATGATTTCTCAACTGCTTTCGATCTTCGTTCTTTGTTTCTTGTTTTCTGTTGGGATGTCGCTTCGATGTTTTACAGGTACTAGCCAAAAATGTTTTGCACCGCGTCCTAGTATAGAAATGTGCTCGACAAATGACCGATGCCAATGTGTAGCGTATCGTTTTCGATGTTCGGAAGACGATGACGCTTGCACTGAAGGTGAACTGATCAATGGTGGAACCAAATGGGAATACAACTTGGTCACAGAAGCAGCTTGTCAAGAAATGCGAGCTGATTATTCATCCAATGTCTTTTCGAATGTGACATGTTGTTCAACAGATGAATGTAATCGACCACGCGACATTAAATGTATACAGTTGTAGTTCTCAATAGTAGATATTCCAATATGTAGTTGTGCTAAAATGTAATCTTACGTGTTCAATAAAAATCTCTGCTGTTATGAGCAGTGTCAGACAGTCTAGCATCAAAAGTTACTGTATCTAACTCTCGTGCTACCAGCCCTTCTTTTTCAGCTCATGCTACTCAAGCAATGTCCAGCAATAATATTCATCTATAGCCACCTCAGGTATCTGTAAATCACCCATCAAAATGTGAAGACACCATTTCTAATGTCAAAAGTTTCGAACACACCACTATTTTGTTACAATCTCATCGACACCCGTCATACACTCATATATTCCCATTTACACCCTTACTCTTTGAAATAGCTATTTTACACCATGAAAGTAACTCGTTTCGAGACTCACATATTGTACTTATCTTATGATAAGAATGAAAACACCGGATAGATATTCAAATATGCATGTTCTTTGCTCCTTCATTCTCTTCATACGTGCCATTGGATGAATGTCGTGTCACTCTATTCTTCATCTCCTTTTTCTTCAATTATTATCGAGTGTTCCAAGTATCTACGCAACATGCATTTCAGGTGGCGATGAAACCATTATTAATAAGTTACTAATTAATGGCGGTCCGAATACTATCGTGTCACTTTGCGCCAATACTGTATTCAAGTTGAAAAATCCAGTTATCTTTACAGCGTACAATCAAGAACTATCTACAGACGGATATCCCAGAGATGCAACACGTGCCACTTTGATCGTCACAGGTGCCAATCAAACCGCTGCAATCATAGGCAATTGCAATCAATGTTCTGGTTTGAAACTTCGAAATATTCAAGTAAATGGTAATCGGCCAGTTCTCGGTCTACTAAAAGGTAGTGGAAATATCGAAATCGGAGGTGCTACGAACAATCAACTTGTTGAATATGTGCATTCATACGAACCTCGAGGATGGTCGTGTTTACATATTACCGAAAGTGGATTAAATCGCTGTCAGAATGCGACGATTATTAACAATGATATTGGTCCTGCCGGACATCCCAATGGCGAATATGCAGATGGCATATCGATGGCATGCACAAGAAGTTTGGTTGCCGACAATGTAATTACGGATGTTACAGATGGTGCAATCGTAGTATTTGGTGCTCCATTCACAACAGTCATAAACAATACTATCATTGCTAAAACTCGTACACTACTTGGTGCGATCAACATGGTCGATTACGGTCCATACGAAGGAGATTACACTGGTGTGATAGTTATGCAGAATACGATTCGAGCGCAGTCTGCATTTATCAAGACAGCCATTGCCATTGGGCCTGCTGTTTGGGGTGCAGATGCAGTAAAATATAATCGGAACGGTGTTGTTCACAGTAATACGATTGAAGGTGAACACATGGGCTATGGTATTATCGTTTCTGGAGCGCTTAATTTCACAGTTCTAGATAACAATTCGACTGCGCAGTACAGTGGCGCTTTTACTTCAAGTTGTTACACACCTAACAATGCCCCACCAATGGCATTTCTAAAAGGTAAAAGGGCTGACGGTCAACTTCAATCCGATTTTATTCTCGGAAGAGCCCAATACATCATTTGTATAGAGCCAGGTGTTTCTGGCACCTACACTTATCAGCCAGGACAATTAGAACTATATTCGAATCAACAGATCGATCTAAAAAATGCCACTTTTACTCTGCTAAATGACGGTAATTTGGTTCTTTATCAGGCTGGTATGGCGAAGTGGTCGTCAGATACCTGTTGTACCGATTGTACTAACCGGCAATGTCGATTGACCTTCAATAGTATTGGTCAATTAGTACTGTACAAGAAAACAGAAATATTAGCTTTGTGGCCACCGGCATACACTGGGAATTTACGAGATAGTTCCATTCGTATATCGAATGCCAGTGCCTATTTTACGTTTAGTGATGGTAACAATTCCATCATATGGGCATCTTCTTATGATTTTTATCCTTCGTTTCGTCTGACAAATAATAGTTTTGTTCGTCAAATGATCAACAATACTTTTCTCTATCTTACTTTACTTAATAACGGGAATCTTGCTGTCTATCTTAATGCTATTGGTACAGGACCGTTATTATGGAGTACTTCGCTCAGTGGGAAAACATGTAATAACGGTTGTTTCCTTTCATTCCAAGGCGATGGAAATATTGTCATCTATGGCGATCAAGGTGTTCTATGGGCAACGGGTACAAATCCTTCGGGAACAAAGTTAATGTTCAATACAATAGTTCCTTACTTACAAGTTTACAATTCTAGCAATGACGTTATTTGGTATTCGAAGTAAACTCAAAATCAGCTTTGAAATATTGAACANATTTCAAGTGATCATGTTCCATTTCTCGTCGTAGGTATTCCATGTGGTGGATTATTCACAGGTGCGGACGAAGGCAAAACACTAGAACAACGAAATCGTTACGATAGAATGTTAGGACATGGACATGGTGGAATTGCCAACACAATGCTAGATCCATGTTATCATAAGATTTGTGATACGATCGAAAACGTTAGTCCGTTCGCTTTCGAAATAATGACTAAGGCAGCAGCTTACACCATCGAAACGTTGGCTCGAATGCCAGATCTATCTCGGTATATATATGAATAGATTTCATACTATGACTCATTTCGTGACGTCATCATACGTTATAGGAAGAAGAAGAAAAGAAAAAAACTATTCTGTAACTAACTTTATCGATCCACGTGTTTCCCATAACAACATTTGCTATTTACAAAAATAAATAGATTTTTTTTCTCCTTACACTTGTTTTCTTCTTCAACTATGAGCACCGCTATTCCAAATAGAGATTTTCATACAGTTGTCATTCGTGGCGATCTTCCGAAGATTAAACAGGACGACAACGACCAAAGACTTCGGGATTTACCAGACGAGGATTATTGGATTGAAAGTATCATCGATTACAATTCTCCTGATCGATGGAATCGAGATTGTAATTACGATCGGTACAAAGTACAACATATGATTGCCAATGGTCCATGTAAGGTTTTTCATATTCATTTTCTAATAATTTATTGGTATTTCTCAGATACATCATCGCCTGGTTATCACGCTCTATTTCGTGCTTTTCTCGCTGCTTACAATTCACACGAAGATATTGTACTCTCACCCGAGTATGTTCTCGCAGGAAAGAGAATGCCGAACAAGTTTTACTTATTCTAGTGATATATGGCTAATGATAACAATTTACTTTGCGAAACATGTCAATGCAAACTCGGAAAAACTTCGACACCTTTTTGTTGATCATGACGAAAAAATCAAACTGACAATCATACAAGTACAACCGGAGCCTGAGTAAGTCGACGAGACTGTATTTCGTACTCGACTTTTCGAATACGATTTCAATCTATAGTTGGAACAGATTTCTCGAAGATATGCGCACTTCTATGGGTGCGAATGTGAAGAACGAAATTGTTTCTGCATTAACTGCGAATTATTCAACAACAGGCAAAGTTGAATCGCTTTTGTCTTGTGCGGTAGTGATGAATGCATTTAAAAATTATTTTGATTATGGACTGTTCATGACAAGATGTGGTATTCGTAAAGTACATTTTATGGGTACACTTGACGATTGGATACTTCTTCGACAAAAAACTGAACAGTTAAAAGCTTTCACCACGCCTGAAGATCAATTTTCAAGTTATGTTCAAGGCCTTTTACCGATACTCGATAAATTCATTGAAACTTATCAAGAGCAAGTCGATAATGAATTTTGGGATAAAATTTTCAATGTTGAACATGTGGGTCGTGGTTCAGGGTGAGTTCTTTTTCACATAGTTAATCAACAAAAAAGTCGGTCGTATCTGTATGTAGAAGTTGGACGAAACTCACTGGATGGTTCCTTCGACTTTGCTACGGTATACACATGCAATCCGAGTGCAATATCAATAAAATTCGATTAGATTCCGTTGTTTCACCCGTTGAATTCGAAAGTGAATGGACGAATGAGAAAAAGACATGCTACGTCGTCGGTGGCTTTCACGGTATTGAAAGTCAAAATGAATGGCACAAGCCCGTCATGTCTTTGGCTATCGTCGACGACCTCTCGACAATTACAAAACTGAAAGAGTGATTGAGAAACAAAGTTATTTTCTTTTCTGATTTATTCATAAATACACTCAAAATTTGCTAATGAAAACTATTACGGCGATGAACGAACCTTTCAACACGGAAGGCAACCAACACGATACCTTCGCTTGTTTGTGTAAAAAGATGTATATGAGGGGATGTATCTTTGCAGATACGGTACACTAGGAATTCTCTATCCAAAAGAGCATTTGAATCACAAAATACAAAATATCTATCGACTTCAATTGGTTTAAACGTGCGATTCTTCATCTGACAAAATGGATATTTCGATCGAATCAAAGCACGTCTTCTTGCGATAACGAATAATGTTATTGTAGCGAAATAAGAGTTCGAATCATTCTTCTATACATTTTTCGTCAAACAGAGATCATGACTTCCACAGAAGCGTTCTATTTCTCAATTAGAATAAGGTAATTTATAATGAAATTCAAAATAGTTGCATGTTTCATCGAAGAATAAGTGATAATCGATATCTTCTTCAAGTATACCATCATTCCTTAAAACCGATTTGATTTTCAATCTCTTAACATTGAAATCTTTGAATAAGAGTTTGGTTTCATCAATTATATTTGGATATGTTCCTGTCCGAGCGAATGAGGCAATCAGTTGTTTCGGAGGACGATCATTGTAAAACTCAAGATATATCGGTTTAAATCGATTGATCTAACAAAACTTTAAGAATCTTTCCATATCTTGGCCATCAACCGTCACCTGAATTTGAAATGATCCATTGATAGGATATGTTGAAACTAGTTCATCAATTCAGATTTTGTATTGCGCACTTTTTTCTCCAATATAATCCACTACATCATCAAGATTTCGATCACTGTTAAGAAACATTTGTTTTATTTCAAACAGAATGTATGATGATCGTTTAAAATCATGAATGGACCGTGTTCGAAGTAACTGTTTAGCGCAATCTAAATATCTGACACGATGAAAGAGATATTTCAATACCCGATCTTCATCTCTTGTTGTCATATTACAACGATTACATATAAATTGATCTAATTTGATATTATTGGTCTGCACATAACCATCTTCACTGGTATTTTCAACGATGCACCGAAAACCTTTCAGATTCTCTCAGAATGCCACGCGTTTCAATCGTAACGGATTGTAATATTTTGTCAAGAAAATTGTTCTATAATCAATTTGATTTCGTAAAACAAATTCTTCGGAATAGAACAAACATTCAACAGCGAGTAAATAATGCTTTTCTAATAATAATTCAAAGTTTTCACAGGAATGAATCGTGACATCGCAATGTTCTAAACGATATAATTCAAATCGATGGAAATAATCTAGTTCACAATGAAATGTCAGGGGTTCTTGATGATATTTTTCCGTATTTTTTATCACAATCAAGCAATCACGATCAGATTTGTCCCATAGATCCATGAACCATAGTTCTAAATGTTTGTTATTTGATCATCATCGAATCCGAGTTGCTTGATAAGTGATATGACAACACTCTGCATATGCAAATATTAAAATAAATTCCATAAACCATCGATTTGCACAACATGTATACATTCTCTCTATTTGTTTTAAGACGTGGAAACACGTATGTATGCGTCATGTCCAAACATTCTGATAGGATAGACGTTACTAGAGAACAAACCTGATGAAATTCGATATTTTCATGCAATTTTGTCAACGAAATCGTCGTTTCTTATTTGTTGAGTTAAACATGACTTCATTGTTTGATGTACTATTTCTGTTACTGAGCAAATAATATTTGGAAGAGTAGAAATATTATTTTGTTTAAACGTTCTTGAAAAAGTATAGTTTGAAAATAATCAGATATTGTGCTGATTCTTGACTGTTTGTCATTAAATGCATTGTATTGCGTCGATTCAAATCAAGAGAGCTATAGAAATGTTCCATATTTTTCTATTTGTTTCATTTGAAGTATAGCAACTGTGTGTACGATGTATTTTCTCTTGATTTGTCTTTTTCTCTCCTCGACTAATGCGATTATGATAACTAGAATCCATCGCTCAGCTTTGTATTATCCTAATTCATCTTGCGCCTTTTTATGGAATGTCACCTTATCCAATGATAGTTCGATTCAAACTTGTATTTGGCAATGTGACTACGAAGATGCATGTCAAACAGCTGTTTATTATAGAGATGAACACATTTGCTCATTGTTTAATGAAGATTGTGAATTTGGTAGCATCCAACCAGCTGGTCTTATTCTAGCAAGTGTTATCTGTTATCGAAGGAGCCAGGGTAAAGCTGTTTTTTTTCCTCAGAATGATCAAATAATGGTTTTGCATAGGGCCGAATCTTGATTGTCCGTCGACTGTGGAATTTACTGAAATGGAAACACAAACAACATTCGTTCCTTCTTCAGTGGTGAATATTACGCAACGTACGTACTCATCTTGAGAGGACACTTCGGAGATTCTGACGTTGAGACGAAATCGATGGTTTTGAGTAGTTTACTGAATTTTAATCAGTTATTTTGATGACATTTATTAACCAGTACTTATAATATCAGTGAACATACCGTCACTGATTCTGTTTTGCTAATTGACGAAAATGATGATCGCTTGATTCTGTCAACCTCGTATGAGAGCACTGCGATCAAGCAGTTTCGTGCAAACAAGGATGCAGTCTTGTGTGATCGAGAGCAGAATAGTATGAAAAGTATAGTCAACAACTTAGTACTTGCATACAAATCTCAACCTATTACCAGTTGCAATTTCTCTGATTCTAGGTAGGTTGTACAGAAAGAACAACCATTCAGTTCGTAATTGCTCAATTAGAAGTTCATGAATAGTGTGAACAAAATCACATGCTCTATTTGCATATTTCTGAATTTATTTTTGCTTTTAATCTATCTTTATTCTAATAATTATAAACAGCATAGATAATTAGCCTATTAAAAATTTTATATAATTAATTTTATACCTATCTCCCTCCGAGTTACGCGTGGAAAATTATTGGAAATTACTCTAACTTATACATTTTTTTTTCATATTCAGCGTGGGTAGTGGCAAAAAGTATGAACATAGGGCGATATTATCATACAGCATCCGTGTTAGTCAATGGGTCAATACTAGTTACTGGTGGACGTGGTAGTTCTTATTTGAATAGTGCTGAATTGTATGATTCATTGAGGAATACTTGGAAAATGGCAGCAAGTATGAGTTTCCGACGATATTATCATACGGCATCCGTGTTACTCAATGGATCAATACTAGTTACTGGTGGACGTGGTAGTACTTCCTATCTCGATAGTGCTGAATTGTATGATCCATTGACAAATACTTGGACAACGGTAGCAAATATGAATGCCAAGCGTTGTTATCATACGGCATCTGTGTTAGTCAATGGGTCAATACTAGTTACTGGTGGAGATGGTAGTACTTCCTATCTCGATAGTGCTGAATTGTATGATCCATTGACGAATACTTGGAAAATGGCAGCAAGTATGAGTTTCGGACGATATTATCATACGGCATCCGTGTTACTCAATGGATCAATACTAGTTACTGGTGGACGTGGTAGTACTTCCTATATCGATAGTGCTGAATTGTATGATCCATTGACAAATACTTGGACAACGGTAGCAAATATGAATGTCGCACGGAGATATCACACAGCATCCGTATTACTTAATGGATCAATACTAGTTACTGGCGGAGAAAATAATGGAGGGTATCTTAGTAGTACTGAATTACATTGATGTACATCGCCACGAATACGTCGACTTTTTGCACATTGTCCTGAAACTGTACTATAACAAATTTACATTTATTGTTATAAAAGAGAAATTAATTGCTTTTTCCATCAATGTCTCACTGTTTGTTTTCTTTTATTCAAAGTAAATAGAAAACGCCTTGCTTAACTAGTAGAAAGTGTATTGAAGCTTATAGATTCGAATCATCCCACATGCCGAATCTTTTTCGTCAGTTCAATCTCGATTATTCCTTCTTATTAATGGCTCAAGTGTTATTCCAGAAATATAATCTTATTCCTATATCACGGTTGTGAAGATGAATTCGAAGACTTACATCCTCTGCCTTTTTCTTCCTACTATGTCAACAGAACATAATGACGAAACCTGTAGTAAAGCGTGGTATTCACGCTCACATGATTGTATGCAATTTCACTCATAAAAAAACATACACTTGCTGCACGTACATTTTTGCATTTCAATACGAGTTTGAAACTTTGTAAGATAAATGGAGATCAAACATAACAAATGGAAATCAAATGGAACCACAATTGCCGGTGGTAATGGATGTGGAAGAAATTCGAATCAATTAAATTATCCCCGAGGATTTTATGTTGATTCTGACAAGTCTCTGTATATTGTTGATTGGGGGAATCATCGTATTGTTCATTGGAAACACGAAGCCAAATCATGTCAAGTTGTGGCAGGCGGAAATGGACGAGGGAATCGAAATAACCAATTGAATTATCCACGAGATGTTCTTCTTGATAAAGGGAACCATTCTTTGATTATATCTGATCGAAAAAATCAACGAATCGTTCGATGGTTTCATCATAGTAAAACTGATCAAGAAATTCTTATTTCGGATATCGATTGTTGGGGGATCACGATGGACCGAAAAGGATATATCTACGCGGCGATTTGCGAGAACAACGAAGTCAAATATTGGAAGGACAAAGACAAAGATGGTAAATTAGTTGCAGGTGGGAACAAAGAAGGAGATGCTTTAAATCAACTTCATGGTCCTACATGTGTATTTGTTGATGAGAATTACACATTGTATGTTGCCGATTATAATAATCATCGGGTTATGAAATGGGTACGAGATGCCGAAGAAGGAATTGTTGTTGCCGGCGGCAATGGCAAGGGAAAGAGTTTGAAGCAACTATCATGTCCAGAAGGAGTGACAGTCGATCAATTAGGACGAGTTTATGTAGTCGATTGTGCGAATCATCGAGTTATGCGTTGGACGGAGGGTAAAGACGAAGGCGAAATTGTTGTGGGTGGGAATGGGCAAGGAAATGGATCGAACCAATTGAATTTTCCAACGGATTTAGCGTTCGATGATGCAGGAAATCTTTACGTTGTTGATTGTGACAATCATCGAATACAAAAGTACGAACCTGATGACTAATTCAATGTTTACGATCATTTTATTGTTAAGAAAGTCAATATTTAACTACCGAACAGTAAAAACAGTCATTGGCACAACGTGCGTTTTCTTCTGACAGAAAAAATTCCGGAAAAGAATTCGAATATCTCGATCGAGATATATAATAACCAGTTTTTCCATACTAACAGCGAATGTCACAGAAACAACGCCAATCGAGTATAAAAATTCGATGTTTACTAACATATGAATAATTATCGGCAGTCCACCGAGAAAATAAACACTAAATGAAATCATCACATTACGAAAGATTTCATAATCACGATCTCTCCTGCCCGTTCTGCTTCGCGTAACACTAGTTTTCCTACTCTGATATATTCGAATGAAGATAAGTACATTAAAGATAACAATCGACAGTATTGGAATAACATAATATGCAACAATGATATAATATGTATGTAATTCATACTTCGATGTTACCCAACAGAGTTCACCCGGTCGAAAATGAATGTCGGTAGTAAGAATAGCTGGTAATGGGACAGTTAGAATCACAATCCATCCGAAAAAAATCGCATAGAAATGTGCTTTATATGATGTTAACCATCGATATCTATTCCAAAGAACAATGAAGAAGAACCGCGAGATAACTTGCAATAAATAAGAATAAACAAATGAGACCATTGACATGTATCCGAAATAACCACGCCACCGACATGACTCATTGCTTGTATCCCATTTGATGACTAAGAGATAAATATAATTAACAAACTGAACAATACAGTATAACATGGATGCTAAACATGTGTTGCAAGTTAACAAACGAGTCACTGTATACAATTGTTTTGTCGATAGAATTATTATTAAAATGTACGAAGTAATAATGATAGAAGTGACTCCAAAAGCCATCGACAAAGGAGCAGTAACACTGTAATCTGTTTTGAAAGTTGTCGCTTCACTCGTTGAAAGATTCATATTCAGAAAAGTGCTTCTAACTAAAGGTTGGTTATATGTCTTTATATTAAAAAAATGTAAATTTGCTAAAAGAGCACATCGTGAACGATTTGTATCAAAATTATTAACGCATTTCTGAACATTTTTTCTTTTCATCTCTCCAATTACATATTCAGTATGTGACGTACAGAGATTCATGCTTGTAGAAAACGATGTGGTGAAATAATTGAAACCGGCAGCAGACGTTTTCATGTTGATGCAATCATGCATTTCAATACAAAAAAGCACGTGTTTTTTTATAATTAGAGTGAACAAAGAAGTTCATAAATATTCAGTATTTGCAACTGGACGCTATCCAGTATCTATGTAATGATCTTTCACTTTCGACGTCTGATATATCCGTCAGGCTGATCGGGTCTTTCATATCGATACTTGTGATGATGATGATGAGCAGACAATGTCTACAGTTACTACCAAGCGTTCTACCAACGAAAATGATATTTCACTGTTCCATTTTCAGTCGTTTCTCACAGTTAGATACTTTAGAAACCGTTTCAGTCTCGATAAAACGACCTCGTCGTAACATAACATGTATATCGGATTCACGAGCTGAAATCACCCTAAGGATCTGTCGTTATCTATACCACCAACTGATGTTCTTTATTCATTTTATCCGCCTGAACAACCAGATCTTCATTTCCATCGTGTTATTCGTGATCATTGTAACAAAATTGATGTGCATAAACTAGGCGACAACGCATTCATTTATCTCTGTAAACTAAAACTCTCAACAATGAACATATTTTTCACATAATACATGCTTTCTTCTATCGATTGTTTGCTAATACCATCAATATAGCTTTTTCGAATTTAAAACACTTGGCATTATGCTGCATTGCTCTTCTAACGATTCATAAATTCTCGACAGACGATCTGTCAACTGTGAGTATTTTAATATCTACATATCAGTTCTCCTCGACCTAATCATGGAGACAATGATGATAGTGATACTAATGATATTGATATGGCACAAACAAACTTTTCAAAATTTCACGTTCTCTCTTCATTTAAAAATAAAGCGGCGGGATCGATACGACCTCAACCGAATTCAATTCCGTTTCAATCGAGAAAAATCTCTCTTACACAAAAGTTATTCTCAATCTTTCTGACGGACTGATATTGTATCAATTATTGACGCTAAACCAATCGATAACTCCGATCGATTTACTTCTAGAAACCATCGATGATTTTTATGTATTACTTAACGAACTTACACCAAATGTTGAAAAAATGGTCATTGAACAACGACGATTACGAATGTTGTGTAAGATCAGTTTTGGAAAACTTTTCTTTCGTATCTAATATTTCTTTCGTAATGAAATTTACATTGAGTACACGCGATACAAATGATATCACATATTGTAATGGTCCTAGATTTGGATCGATTCTATCTACATGATTACTTGCCAAATCTCGGTCGGTTTAATTATACAATGGCGCATCAAATGAGACCTGAAACATTATTTAACAAATTCAGTCGTTGGCCAACGAATGGCAGTTATTACAAAGCAAATCATCGCAGGGAATTACCGATTGTTAAAAATTCATTCAGTCGAATAGTTCAATCAAGCATTGGACTGAATGAATGCGTCACAGATTTCATGATTACTAATAATCATCAATGAATGAAGCTGAAGACACAATTTCGGCATGTTCGTCAAATACGACCCTTTTTGCTGATTAATATTTTGTTACGATCGAAAATTATGGTAGTGATCATTCCAAAGCAGATCAATAAGAGAACTGCTCCTTGCAAAATCCGATTTCCATTCATTTTTCTGTAGGTTTCACTTCAGTCGATTGCGTTGCCCAACCCTTTGCGTCTAGTCTAGTAATCGAACATCGCTTGACGGATGTTGAAGATATTTTTAATCTCGCTCATTAATTTCCAAATATTGAATATTTAATATCGCATTTTCCTTGGGACTAACAACTCAAATTGATTATCTAATCGTTCATGGAAAGGTACCTCGCTGGCTTTTTCGGAATACTGATTTCAAATACTTCAAAACAGGATTCAGTTACCATAACTCTGATACAACACTATTTATTTGTCTTCAATAAATTCATTCATGTGCACATCGTGACTGAACGAGAAAAATACTTTTACTAATTTTGTTAGTTGCATCCTTTTGTTGCTTAATGATACGAAAATGAGCGGCGTTGGAGAAGAACAATATGAAAGATACACTATCACAGATGTTAATGCGCATGGATAAATATGAACGATTGTTTCCGCTCCTCGAATTTCCACTTAAATTACTAATAGCATCCGTAAAAGAGAATGAAGATGGTGAGTGTTTTTATTTCAAACATGAAGAAAGCTTTTGGGTGATTCAGTTTATCAAACCGTTTCTCGATTTTTAGAACAGCTTGATTTCATTCAATCGATCACTTTCGAATATTTGACAACAAGTGAACGTGATATACTATCGTGCCTGATGTTTTAAACGGTGTAGATTAACAGCGCACAGACTTTTCATCGACAAACACTTTTTTGCTCTAGATCTGCGTGCACTTTTTCTCAAAAATCGTCAGAAAAAAGGACATTGTTTTGGTTAGCAACTCCAATTTTAATGGAATTTTGTTCCGTTGATTATGGTTAATCAGAAATAGAACTCATTAAAAATAAAAAAGTACATTACTGAGCATAATGAACGTTCGTGCAGTAAATTCAAACATTAATTGTTGAAGTAACCGAGATACAGCGTGTTAGCAAACATAATAATTGCAGAACTTGAAGTCATTTCTATCATCAACTGCTCATAGATGCATCGCTTTACTTAATACAATACGAGTTTCAACCATGACGAATTTCGAATCGCATTCCAATCGTCAGCAGAAACTTCGAAAATGGATTCGTGATCTTAACTTTTTCCCATCAATTCCGCCGACAACAGATCCTTATCAGCTCAAAACTCAACGCATATCAACACGCTTATTCATCGTCACGTTCATCTCATCTTTAGTCATTCTTCTTTTATACACATCATTAGCCACTGTTACTGAAGTTGCCACCGTTCCAACACCAACTCTTGATCAATATAACGATCTATACGATAAATATTCTGAAACTCTCAGTTGTCCCTGTTCACAAATATCCATTCCGAACAAACAATTGATGACGATCAATTATACTCTACACCAAGTTTGCTCTAGCAGTTTTATTTCGAACGACTGGATCGATCAGTATGAACAATTCTCGTTAAATTCACAATACTTCTTTTTCGACTTTCGATATATGATCACTTTTACCTTTGAAAGTTTGGCAACTCTCTGCAAGTTGATCAGGCAAACAATTTCCAGCGGTCTCACTCGGTTTTACACCGGTCAATATGTCACTACAGATGTGACATCAATGAAGGTGTTTGAAACGCAAATGACAGTTCTCTTTGATCAATTCAAGTCATCTTTGGTTGCTCGCTTTCTATCATCCTTACATATTATTCGAAATATTACGCAAGCCAATTTTCTAGTCACAACACTACCTCTGAATGGCTATCTCGTCGCGTCGTATAGTGATATGGGCTATGCAACATATACGATGCATATTGGCGCTTGTGCATGTGCAGAGCAGGCAACGTGCACTATACCAGCAGCTATCGTTGGAACCTATGCTCAACCACTGTATTTCATTGATGGTGTATCCATTGGATGCTACATGCTTGAGGGATTGCTGCAGTCAAGTTTTAAATGTTTCTATGATCAAGCATGTGTTCAACAAGTCTTTACATATTTCAATCCGGATTATCCTATCAACATCACACTACTGAACGCATCTGCCGTAAGTCGATTCCCAATTAACACTACTATCGGCGAACTGCTGAATGAATTCATGGTAGAACGATGGACTGTGTTGCCAGAGTTCGCCAACTATTTCAATGAATGCCGACCAGAGAAGTGCACCTATATAGAGAAAACGAAGCACAATCTAATTTATATTATAACTACAGTGATCGGTTTAGTCGGCGGGTTAGCGACAGCGTTGAAGTTGATTATTCCGGTTGCGGTGAAATTAGTTCGACGGAAGAAAACACAAAAAAATGCAAGGAAAGGTGAGAATATGAACGAAGTTTTGACTGTCATTATATGACTATTTTTTACATCTTGACGACTTTTGTTTATGTGCTTTAGACCACACGAGGGAAGCCATACGAGTTTTGTTCAAAAAATATGCACGAAAATCTCTTCATTTTATTTGGCACCTCAACTTTTTCCCATCAATTCCGCCGACAACAGATCCTTATCAGCTCAAAACTCAACGCATATCAACACGCTTATTCATCGTCACGTTCATCTCATCTTTAGTCGTTCTTCTTTTATACACATCATTAGCCACTGTTACTGAAGTTGCCACTGTTCCAACGCCAACTCTTGATCAATATAACGATCTATACGATAAATATTCTGAAACTCTCAGTTGTCCATGCTCGCAAATCTCAGTTTCGAACGAACGGTTGATGAATGTGAGTTATACCATACATCAAATTTGCTCAAGTAGTTTTGTTTCGCCTTTATGGATTGAGTATCTCCATGAAGTATCTGCACAGTCCAATTGGGACACTCAGTACATATCTACATTTACTTTTCAAACTTTAGCATCGTTATGTGAACTTGCCAGCGCGACGATTGCGAACAGCATCGTCGAGTTCTATAACAATCAATATGTGGCTGCTGAAGTAGGAACATTCAAACAGTTTCAAGCGCAGACAGCAAATCTATTTGACGAATTTCGATTGTCAACGATTGCTGACTTTTTGACGTCATTGCGAGTCATCCAAGATACTACTCAGAGTAACTTCTGGCTCTCATTGTTTCAATCCAATGCCCGTCTACCTTTTCTTAATGGCACCTCCGATATCATTTTAATTCCGACTGGATACGGTGGTTGCTCATGTATTCAGCAATCATCGTGTTCTGCGCCGGCTCCCGTCATTTCATATACTGATGGCTCGATCATATATGTGGCTCCAGGTATATATGCTGGATGCTACATGCTAGAAGCTCTGCTACAATCGAATTTCCAATGTTTCTATGATCAAGCATGTATTCGGGAGTTCTTAACCTATTTGTACTCGGACTACCCTATCAACATCACACTACTGAACGCATCTGCTGTTAGCCGATTCCCAATTAACAGTACTGTTGGTCAATTGTTGGATGAACTCATGGTAGAACAATGGATTATGCTACCAGAGTTTGCCAACTATTTCAATGAATGCCGACCAGAGAAGTGCACCTATATAGAGAAAACCAGGCACGCTCCTATTTACATTATAACTACAGTGATCAGTTTAGTCGGTGGGTTAGTGACAGCGTTGAAGCTGATTGTTCCATTTGTGGTGAAATTAGTTCGCAGAAGAAAAACACAAACAAGTACAGAAAGAGGTGAGAATCGTTTTTGTTACGTGTTTTAGATGTGTTGAAGCAGGAAAAAGAGAATTGTTGGCTAAACATGTCGCTTGTGGAGACGCGTTCGTGACCTTATTTCTTATATTCTAGGAACCAGTGGGTGTTCGATTCGAGTTTTATATAGTGATTACATGCCGAAGCTTCTATGGTTTATTTGGCACCTCAACGTTTTCCCATCAATTCCGCCGACAACAGATCCTTATCAGCTCAAAACTCAACGCATATCAACACGCTTATTCATCGTCACGTTCATCTCATCTTTAGTCATTCTTCTTTTATACACATCATTAGCCACTGTTACTGAAGTTGCCACCGTTCCAACACCAACTCTTGATCAATATAACGATCTATACGATAAATATTCTGGAACTCTCAGTTGTCCCTGTTCACAAATATCCATTCCGAACAAACAATTGATGACGATCAATTATACTCTACACCAAGTTTGCTCTAGTAGTTTTGTCTTCAATCAATGGATAGACTATCTTCTTTATTCACGTGAGGATGATTTCTTATATCGTCTCGATTTTCGAGTGATCGGCACACACATATTTCAAACCTTAGCATCCCTCTGTGAACTAGTAAACGAAACGATAGTGAATAGCGTGACTGAATTCTATAATAACAAATACGCGACGATGGAGGTGGCATCCTTCGACGTCTTTCAGAAACAAACAGATACTCTGTTTGATCAGTTCCGATTATCAACGATTGCTGACTTTCTCTCATCATTACGCATCGTTAGAGACACTTCGCAAATCAATGGTTTGCTGTCAGCACTGGAAACGAACGGAGTACTTCAACTTCCTGCCGATGGACAGATGGTCACTGTGGAGTTTGTCAGTTACAATGGTTGCCGTTGCGTCAACAGTCCTGAGTGTGTCGAACCAGTATCGATAAATAATGGAATTACCGCTGATCCTATATTCGTAGTTCCTGGCATGTTCAGAGGTTGTCAGATTATCGAAGCTTTACTACAATCAAATCTCGCCTGTTTCTACGATGAATTTTGTTTGAAAGAACTTATGCTACACATAAATTCAAGTTTATCAGTGAATGTGACAAGAATGAATGCGTCTGCCGTCAGTCGATTCGCGGTCAATAATACGGTTGGTGAATTGTTAGATGAACTATTAGCAGAAGACTGGACTATGGTACCGGAATTCGCTAACTATTTCAATGAATGTCGACCAGTAGAATGTACTTATTCACATGAAACAAGAAATGATTTTATCTACATAGTAACGGCGCTGATTGGCACGATAGGTGGCTTGATAACGGCCTTAAAGTTAATTATTCCAACGCTAGTTCATCTTATACGGTATATCTATAAAAAAAGAACTCAAATCAATCCTCAAAGTGTCTCAGTTGCAAACAAAGGACAGAATCATTTGCAAGATATCGAAGTAGCGGATGTATTTTATTAGACAACAATTTTGCTTTGCTTCTGGATGTCGTGATTGCATATCGATGAGAACTGGGAGAATATAGCTGAGGAAATTAATCTGAACTCTCGCCCATGTCTCTAAAGGCTGCTTGCATACGTTCATGAAGTTCTTCAAGTTCGTCGCTTATCTTTTGTTCGCTATCTTTCGTTGGATCCTAAATAAAGAATATTTTCCTAACTGAGTGTAATCTAATCATTCGTATCTACCTTGAATTTCATACCAGCTAATTGATGAAGAATATCACTCAGATTAGTTTTAATATCGTTGAATGTAACTTTGTTTTCGGAACATGATGTTGTCTCAACAAGATGTCGAGCTAATTCGTAAAAAGTGATTAGATTTCGAAGCATTGCAACACATTTATAAAATGGGCAATATTTGTCATGAAGTGAGCAACTATCTTGTTGAAGAAAGTCCTCCTTGATCATTCGTGAGACTTCAAGCGTTATCTTGTCTGTTTCGGCCAATGAAGCCTTGCCCACGAGTTGTACTAAATCAGAGAGATCTTCTTCATTTTGCAAGATTTCCTTACACTAAACGGCAGACTGATTTTTCGAGAGAAAGTAATTAAAAAATGTATACTTTAGCCCGTAATGGTAGAAATTCTGGAAACTCCTTCTCATAATACTCATCCAGTACGAACGCACATTTACTGTATGACGAGAGCCAGTTCACTGACGGAAAATGTTTACGTTGTGCTAGTTTTCTATCCAGACCCCAGAAGACCTGGACGACATTCAGTGTTTGTATTGTCACTGGATCAGAGAAATCGCCACCAGGTGGAGAAACGCTAAACAGAAGCAAATATATGAATAGGGAGAAAAATTTTTCTAAGATTATTTACGCTCCGATGATAGTCACAGAACCTTCACGCAATGGGTTACCTAAACATCGAACACGACCAGCACGTTCATAAAACGAAGCTAAACGAGTGCCTAAATAAGCGGGAAAACCTGCTTCTACAATAAGAGAACAAAATGTGTTTATGATCTTTTTGATAAAATGACCGAACCCGCAGGCATTTCAGCTAAACGACCCGATATTTCACGCAAAGCTTCAGCCCAACGTGATGTTGAATCAGCCATCATTGCAACATTATAGCCCATATCGCGAAAATATTCCGCTAATGTTATACCTGTATAAATCGATGCTTCACGGGCTGCTACAGGCATGTTTGACGTGTTCGCCACTAATGTTGTTCTCTCCATAATTGATACCTCTTTGCCTTCAACTTCCATTTTTAACTGTAATAGATGAATAAACAACTTTTCAATCATAGCATGCTGATGACATTTGCTTTACTTTAGGGAAATCGCGTAGTACTTCCGCCATTTCATTTCCACGTTCACCACAGCCCACGTAAACAATAGCATCGCTATTAGAGAATTTCGAAAGTGACTGAGAGATGACAGTTTTCCCACAACCGAATGCGCCAGGGATAGCTGTTGTGCCACCTTGCACGCATCTAAAATGGGCCGATGAAGACTATTCTTCAAAACAAATAGTTTCAAATACATACGGAAATAAAGCATCTAGTATACGTTGACCTGTCAATAGCGGATTATTCGGTTGAAGATATTCTGTGACTGGTCGCATGCGTCGAACAGGCCATACTTGCAGCATTGTATGTTTCGTTTTCGTTCCGTCAAATTCTGTTTCAAGAACGACATCCTATGCACGAAGGAAACGTTCGATTTCAAATTTAAAGGAGAAAACCTAGCCAAGCGTACTTCAAGTGTGTAGTTTCCTTCCGGTGCAATGTATGTTATTGTGCCTCTTGCTTTTGGATGGAGCATGATTCGATGCTCTATTAGTTTATTTTCTGCTACTCTACCGAATATATCGCCACCAGTGATATGACTACCAATCTGTATAATGAAAATAGATGAAGAGATATTGGTTAACGATCAAATAAGATTAACGCACTCGAAGACGCTGGTCAGGCTTGAAACACCATGAAGTAGATCGATTTAATGCAGGAACGTTGATGCCACGTGGAATATAAATACTGTTGGTATAATCATAAATAGTTTCAAGAGGTCGCTGGATACCTGAATATAGAACATGGTGAGATTTGTTCTGAATCAAAAGAAATCTTTCCTACCGTCGAAGATACTTCTCATAATACCAGGGCCAAGTTCAACTGATAATGGTTTACCTGTTCGTAAAACTGGATCACCAACCATCAGGCCCGCTAAAAACAACAAATTTATCGACAACTCTAGCGAGATGTGTAGTTCATACATGTTTCTTCGTAAACTTGAATTGTTGCTAAATCATTTTCTAGACGAATAACTTCCCCGACCAATTCCTCATGGCCAACTCGAACCTATATGAAATCAATCTTTAAATATCTTATCGAAATTAACTTCTATCCTACTAGCTCATTAATGGATGCCCCGGCCATGTAATTGGCAACAACAACTACACAAAAACGTCAATATTGAATCGATTATAAAAACTATAGGACTCCTACCTGGACCTGAGACTCCACAGATATAGCCATAGTCTGATTCACGTTCGGTATCCATTACTTTTGGAAGATTATCTGTGCTCATCATCGTTTTCTCAGTTTCTCTGAAAATAAATATGCGAATAGCATGTACTTATGAGCGACATCATGAATTACACATTGATTTTCAATTCAACAAACTGTAAACCCACATTTGTTAATTCGACCAATAAAAATTTGCCAACTGTACATTGTTGAGTCATGAGATTGTCGTTATGCGTCACCATAACTGCTGAAAATTGATTTAATTTCTCCAGCGATTCTTCAGTGACTCATCCACGTTGATGTATTGTGCAAGAACAGGATGTAGGTGTAGAGATGGGATCACACTCTCACCAGATAATGATTTTTCTTCTGTATTTGACATTATTCACGATAAAGCTATTTCTATTGTTCGGAATAACTTAATATATAGGTCGATTCTTACTGAAATGTACTCATCGAAGAAAAGTTAGAGTCCGGCGGGGCTGTCCCGATCCTCAATTCGTGTTACCACCGATGACACTCTACAATGTGACATCATCACCAAGTGTTCTTTTATCATTATGTGAACGTCTCATATTTGTTGATCTATAAGTTGGATGGTACTCCACAAGTGAGCAGCTCAATGAAGAATATCGATGGATGGACAATGTTGTGTGCTGGTGATTATTCGATGATGAACGAGAGTGTGTATGGGTATTTCATTGATAATGAGCAGACAGTTGGTCATGCATCGATGGTGATTGGTTTACGAGAAGTGGAGGATGACGTGTATTGTTCGAACGCGTCCTTGAGAAATGAATTGCCGATAACAGATGATGTGTACAGCTTTCGATCAGACTATGAGATGCGAGTGTATTCGTCTGGTTGTTATTATATGGATGAAGAGAGTGGTGAATGGATTGAAAGATGGTGCATTGACAAACCACTATGAAACACAATGTTTGTCGAATCATTTATAAGATACTTTATTGAACGAACAATCGACAATATACTGAAGAGATGATATCATTCAAGCTTTCATAATGTGTATTCGTGAGTGTGTGGCTTTCCTATATTTATATTTAGTAAATCATCATATTCAGAAAATAGTAATGAATGAAGTAGCATTGAGTACTTCGTTTGATTTCAAGCGTAGTATGATTGATTCGGATATTTCGTTATAATTTGAACGGATAACACGATACAAATGTGCTGCCCATTCCACTATGAATGTATTTTGTTTTCTGTTACCATGTCGCTTAGAGAATTCTCTACTAATTGAAAGACATCAATGTGTGACGTTCTACTACCGATGTTTTGTTAACGATTGCAGTCATACTATTCGTCAAATAGCTTTCCGAACGTTACACATTATCCTCGAGGCGAATGTAATAAACTGAGCTAGGAGCATAAAATGCATACGAGTGAGATTTTACATTGTATTCAATACATACCCATCCTAACATATTCTGGAACTCTCACTTGTTCCCTCATCTTCAGTATCGATTGTCAGCAAGAGATTTGTGAGTGTGGATTGCATACAATATTATACACGTTCAAGTACTTTGTTTTTAATCAGTAGATGAATCACTACGATTGCTTATGTTTTTTATCAAGTTTTGTTAGATCATATGCACTTGACTGTTATTGAACATTATCTCTTATCGTACTGTTTTAACATTCATCCTTACACGTCAAATATAGATGAGGCAGATAGAAAGTAGTATAAATATAGCCAGATCATATGTTACGAAGAGATCACACAAGCTGGAGTCCACCAATGAGGAACTTTTGTCATACTTTATTCATCGTTTTTTAACATTTTCCTATACACAATGATAATTATTTAGTTTATATAATTATAATGGCAGTGAAACTATATTCTCAAGAATGGGAAAGAAAGTCTGGCCAGAGGAGATTTGACAATCAGATTCTTTTCTAGCACTTACGTTAAATATCGCGTCTTATGTGTGTAAAAACATTCAAAGTTTTATTTTAATAGACACCGTATTAATGATAAATAATTCAAAAAGAACGGTTAGAAGCATGAAAAAAAATTGTATGAAGCACGATAAGCGTCTATGAGAAGCGAATAAAACGGCTTTTTCACATATTTTTTTTCACTATATTGACCACTAATTTCATACTTAGTATAAATGTTTCGAAAATGTTTGTGAAACTAATGCGTTGCTGAAAAGTATCTGCATTCACCGGAAAGTTTTAACAGTGAAACAAAATTCCACCATTATTTGTGCCAAATGTCGCCATAATCAAGTCGGGTTTGCTATCAGAGTTCATATCAGCGGTTATGATGACACCTGGTGTAGTTCCGGCCGCGTAAGTAATTTGAGGAGAAAATGTGCCATCACCATTATTAAGTAAAACACTAACTGTCCCTGTACCATAGTTTGCCGTAGCTATGTCAGGTTTATTATCAAAGTTTATGTCTATAACTGTCACCGAGAACGGTTGTGTGCCAGTTGCATAAGAAGTTTGATTGAAAAATGTGCCGTTACCTTTATTGAGGAGAACACTAACTGTATTTGCACCACTGTTTGCTGTGACTATGTCAGGATTGTTATCGAGATTCAGGTCAATGACTGATACGGAGTACGGTTGTGTGCCAGTTGTATAAGTAGTTTGAGAGAAAAACGTGCCATTGCCTTTATTGAGCAGAACGCTAACTGTTTTTCCTCCATAGTTTGCCGTGATAATATCAGGTCTACTGTCAGAATTCACGTCAACAACTGCCACTGATTGTGGAGTATTCCCAACTGTATATGCAGTTGCTGCAAAGAATGTGCCATTTCCTCTATTCAGAAGAACACTAACTGTGGTTGCACCACTGTTTGCAGAAACTATATCAGGTTTGTTATCAGAGCTAACATCTACTACTGATACTGATTGTGGAGCAGCGCCGGTTGTGTAGGCAGTTTGAGAAGAAAATGTGTAATTGCCTTTGTTAAGCAGGACACTAACCGAGGCTCCACCATTGTTTGCTGTAACTATATCAGGTTTACTGTCGGAATTAACATCGATAAGCGCTACGGAATACGGTTGGGAACCAGCTATGAAGGTAATTTGAGAAGAAAATACTCTATTGCCTTGATTGAAGAGAATACCGACAGTGTTATCACCCGAGTTTGCTACAGCTAGATCAAGTTGTCCATCCAAGTCTATGTCAGCTGCTGCTAAACCTCTTGGAGTGGTGCCAGTAGTGAAGGTCATTTGAGAAGAAAACATGCCGTTATCTACATTTCGAAAAATACTAACAGTGCTTGAAACTGCGTTTGTGGCAACTATATCGGGTTTGCTGTCTGAATCCAGATCTGCCACTGCTACTGAATATGGTTGAGTGCCACTTCCATAGGTAATATCAGAAGAAAATATGCCGTTGCCTGTGTTTAGGAGAATACTAATTGTGCTTTCACCATTGTTTGCCGTGACTATATCAGGAGTACTATCATTGTTTAGGTTCATCACTACCACCGAGTATGGTTGTGAGCCAGTTGCATAAGAAGTTTGATTGAAAAATGTGCCGTTACCTTTATTGAGGAGAACACTAACTGAGTTTGCGCCACTGTTTGCTGTGACTATGTCAGGATTGTTATCGAAATTCACGTCAACAATTGCTACTGAGCACGGTTGTGTGCCAGTTGTATAAGTAGTTCGAGAGGAAAATGTGCCGTTACCTCTATTTAGAAGAACACTAACTGTGTTTGCACCACTGTTTGCTGTGACTATATCAGGTTTGTTATCGAAATTTACGTCAACAACTGCCACTGATTTTGGATAACTGTCAGTTGCGTAGGTTACTTGGGAAGAAAATGAACCATTGCCTTTGTTGAGAAGGACACTAACCGTAGTTGTAGCATAGTTTGCTACGACTATGTCAGGTGTTGTGTCTGAGTTTATGTCGACCACTGCTACTGAATATGGCTGACCGCCAGTTCCATAGGTGGTCTGAGAAGAAAATGTACCGTTCCCGTTATTACGAAATACGCTAATTGTGTTTGCACCACCGTTTACTGTAATTATGTCAGGCTTTGTATCTGCGTTGATGTCAACGACTGCCACTGATCGTGGATTACTGTCAGTTGAATAGATAATTTGAGGAGAAAACGTGATGTTGCCTTGGTTGAGAAGAACGCTAACTGTGTTTCCACCATAGTTGGCTGTAATTATATCCGGTTTGCTGTCGTTATTTACATCACTAAGTGCTACTGACTGTGGCCCGCTTCCAGTGGCAAAAGTAACCAAACTGAGATACAAGCTTCTACAATCTATGGAATACAAAATGATGAGAATAAGTGAAAAAGGTAAATATCCAATACAAGGGTGTGAGGGTGAGGGTGGTATTCTAGTAGAACACCTTTGAGAGGATTATGGGTGTGCTTAACAGTCTTGCTTCCACAACGTTGTGAGCTTTCTTTACCATTTAACTATACCATCGAAGTCAGTACGGAAATTTGGAACTTTATATTTTACTGGTTTGCCAACAACTATTTCTTTTAATGGGATTTTTTCAAATTAACATGATGATATTTTTACTAGTGCACTAGTGCATAGGAAGGAATATTATATTAGTCTATTACGTACCGTTGGCGAGTAGTGATATTGTCGAAGTTGTTGTCGTGATTGCCTTCGTTGACAATGATGATGACGAAGCTGTTGAGATCGAGGCTGGTGATGATGATGGTGTGGTTGTTGTTGTTGTTGTTATTGCCTTCGTTGACGATGATGATAACGAAGCTGTTGAGATCGAGGCTGGTGATGACGATGAAGCTGTTGAAGTCAGTGCCGTTGAGATTGATGATAACGAAGTGGATGTTGTAATAGATTCTTTTTTTGCAAAAAAGAAATTGGCATAATGAAGGAAGTCAAATAAAAGCTCTTCTTAGGACTGATTTATTATATTTTCTATGGGTATATCCAATTTTTAAAAGATTATAAGGTTTTTAGAATTGTCTATCAAGCTATTCTTATTCCTTTACTGCTAATTTTACTTTAAGTGTAAACGTAAATGCATTTTGTGCATATGTTATCAAGAATTTTCAAAAGAAGACGTCTGTATGCATGGGAGAACATATTAGTGTCTCTTCATTATTCAAAACATCACTGACATTCTCTCGATACGTACCAAATGCCGTTCTTGTGTCAGAAATCACTATCATAGTAACAACGCCTACAACTTCTTCTAAATTGTAGCTTTGATTCACACCGTTAGTGAACAATTGACAGTGAGAAGTAGATTGACGAAAGCTAACAGCTTGGCATTGAGTTTGTCCCAGACAAGTAACTTGACACTGCAAAATATCGGATGTAGTGATTGTAAAATATGATAAACACGTTGTATTAGCACATTGAAACTGCCACCCATCCATAACAGTCATCTCAAACGACCTAATGTTTTGTGTAACTACTTGTTCAGGAAAAATAATAAAAAATAACAATGATATTTTTATTGCAATCATATCTAGTCAGACTTCTATTTATTTCACCTGATGACTACTGTGCGGCTGAAAATGAAAATGAAAGTATTTGCTAATGGTAAAAGTGCTCTCGCCTCTCGTTTTTTCTCTACTTTAATTTTCAAATCGACATTCATGTGATTAATATGTTAGCGAATCCACAGCAATGCTTTTTTTCTCCCCCTTTTCATCTAATAAATTGAGTATCCTTTTCAAAGTTGTTCTGTCCTCTTTTGAATAGTTCAAAGTAGAATTATTATGAGAAAAAAGCTTCTTGGTTAATGCGGGTTCTTGAACAATTGAACATTTTGTTAACATTGGTTACACAAGCGAAGAGAGAAGGTGAAACACCGGAAATATATTGCGTCTCTAAATCTTGAGTTGAAGCCAGACAGTATAGTCAAGATTTCTCTTCGAAGGGCCAGAATTTGGATAGGAGTGTGAAAATGTGATGAGCGAAACCGATAGAAATCTATAATTTCTACTTGGAATTGATACGCGAGAAAGTTGCAATGTTGATATAAACAAATCTATTTTGGAAGAAGTCAAATTCTGTTCGAAGATGTCTTACATACCTTGAAATATTCACCTTTCAATATCAGAACAAATGACAACGTCAGGTAGATCGATATACAATCAAGTTTTTTTAAAAGAATCGAGCATCTAATCGTTATGAAACAAGATGACAATGGACGAATTTATTTGTTACAGTTTCTGTAGTTAATCATTAAGCAAAACACGTTTTCGTATTCCCCTTTTTTCATAATTTAATGTGCTTTTCTGTTTCTCTCGATAATTTCAACAAAATGAGTTATTCACTGAAAGTAGAAAAGAAAAGAAACGTTGCTTTTAAAATGATTTATTTTGAAACAACCTTCAAAACAAGTGTTTGCCCGAAATGTCGACGTGGTCAGTTGATGATGTGCTTTCCTCTCTGACATTTTATGTCACGAAGACACCCAAACACAAAAAAAATACACATTAACTTTTCCTTCATTCATAAGTTTAATTCAGCCATGAAGAATAAATGATCAACGTAAACATGCTGTTCATCGTATAGAAGAAAAGAGACCTAAAAAACGTCTTTTAGGAAGTATGAAAGAAATCTGCAGATATTTGACTAAAACGAAAAAACGCACTTGGATGAATCTTATAATTCATAATGGTTCGCTTTTCCTCTCATATTGATCGACGGAGCAAGGTTATGGTTTTTAGTATGGCAGAAATTGTTCAAAAGAAAATATACACTTAAACTTTCTTTACATACTTTAATCATTTTTAAGAGGATTTATTGAACGAACAATGAACAGTTGTGTATGTTGGTTTTCATATCCGCATTAATATTTTATGAACTATCATGTTCAGAATATAGCAATCCATGAAGCGACACATAATGCATTCTTGTTTCTTACCATAATGTGATTGGTCCAGAATGTTTATTTTAAAGACGGCCGGATCATTTTCGTTTTGATTCAGACGGATGAGGTCAACTTTCCCGTCTATTCAACTTTCAATGGCGTATAAAGGGTGATGGTACTGTTTCACTTATTCATTCGTAATGATGAACTCTCAACTGTTGTCAGTCTCTGTTCTTTGTCTATTGTTCTATGTTGGCATGTCTCTTCGATGTTTTACAGGCACAAACCGAAAATGTTTTTCACCACGTCCTAATATAGAAATGTGTTCAACAAATGAAAGATGTCAATGTGTGGCGTATCGTTATCGATGTTCGGAAGACGATGACGCTTGCACTGAAGGTGAACTGATCAATGGCGCAACTAAATGGGAATACAACTTGGTCACAGAAGCAGCTTGTCAAGAAATGCAAGCTGACTATTCATCCAATATCTTTTCGAATGTGACATGTTGTTCAACAGATGAATGTAATCGACCACACGACATTAAATGTATACAGTTGTAGTTCTCAATAGTAGATATTCGAATATGTAGTTGTGCTAAAGTATAATCTTGTGTTAAATAAAGGTCTATACTGTTATCAGCAGTGTCGAACAATTAGGCTTCGAACGTTACGGTAACTAAACAACACTTTTTTGTACTTTTTACGTCAAACTGCAGAAAATACAGCATAGGCAAATTATGAATGCAGTATACGCCGATAGCATGATATTGTGATACTCACAGCTTAGTATAATCTTATGGTTGAAATGAAATGTGCGGAAAATATGTTTTAAGTGATTGGCCTCGAACATTATTCGTTATCTCTTCTTGTACGGGTGTCCAGAATCTATTTTTAATATTGAAATCTAACTACAATCAATCAGTTGTTAGTAAAAAGCACACATTTAGAGAGTATATATATATAGTTCGCTAAAATGTCTTCTTGTCCTTTTCAGCCTCGATTAGTACTGAAATATCACTGTCATCGTTTGATTCGCTGCGCTGCAAGTTAAGCCATTAATGCCACCGAAATTTCCATTACCGACGCATGGTCTTATGTTGTATCCTGTTACACAATAACATACTGCCCCACTTGCACTCAATTCATAGGGACTTCCACATGAACCAACGGCCCATGAACGCGAATTTGTTGATACTGGTCCGTATGCTGTGGATGTTTGTAGAGCTAAAGCAATGTTACCTATGACGACAGGATCAAGAACTTTCACTCCAACTGGATCCATTGAACCAGATAATATTAATAAATTATATGGTCTTATAGTTAATTGAGCGACAAAATTTGCCCATGCCGCACATTGACTTACTGGATTAACTCCCATGATAAATAACTGAGAATAGGTTATATTTGTCGCTACAATTAAACCAAAACAATTGGATCAATTCATCTCCTTTCTTGTTCATAAAAAAATAGAACTTACGTGTATAAGGAATAATATTTACAGTATAATCATGCGTTTCACCATATGTTATAGATGCAGCACAAGGATTTGGTATCCTATTATATGCTACTTGCGCTCTCATCCGATGAGTACCAAGTACAGCTCCTGAACTAATACTTGGAATCGTTATAGTTATCGGTGTGTCCAAAGTTGAATTTAACGATTGATATGCTACTCTTTCGAACGATTCAAATAGAAAGTTATTATTGAAATCAATCCAAATCCCAACGGTTTCTAAGGACGAATATTGAGTTGAAACCAAAGCAACATATGTTAGATTAGTATACAATGTAATCGTCTGGGAGGTACGATTGTCATAGGCACCTGCTGCACAACCTGTTGCTACATCATTGATTAAAGTACCGGATTCACCTCTCAAAATGAAATCATTCATAGTATCAGCCGAACTACAGGAGATCACCAGTGGAGCACAATAAGCATTGGTCACTGTCACGAGTGTTGATGTAAATATCATCAGTGCTGGAAATTGCACAATAATTTGACACTTGTAATCTGTTGCATTCACTTGAAATGACACAGGAAAAGATGCTGTTGAACTAACTGCGGAAACATTTGACCAAATATTTTGTCCTGATATTGACGATTGCCACTGGTAACTGGCACCTGTAGTATTGAAGAGGATATTTGTTAACGATAGTGTAAAATTTGTACATCCACAAAATGAGGATAAACTGCTAACAGCAGTTGGCAAAGTAGGTGTTGTAGTGCTTGTTGTCGAAGTCGAACTCGTTGAAGTCGTTTTCGACGTTGTGGAAGTACTGGACGTAGATGATGTTGTCGAAGTACTCGAGCTGGATGACGATGTCGTCACTGATGTCGTGGTTGTTGTTGCTGATGTTGTGCTAGTGGTTGTTGACGTTGTAGTTACGGATGTAGTGCTAGTGGTTGTTGACGTTGTAGTTACGGATGTAGTGCTAGTGGTTGTTGACGTTGTAGTTACGGATGTAGTGCTAGTGGTCTCAGAAGTCGTCGTTGTAGTTTGGGAGGTGGTTGTGGTGGTTTCAGATGTCGTACTAGTTGTTTGAGAGGTTGTTGTTGTCTCAGAAGTTGTAGTGGTTGTATCGGACGTTGTTGTAGTTGTTTCAGATGTTGTGGTACTAGTTTGAGAAGTAGTGGTTGTTGTGTCAGAAGTTGTAGTGGTCGTATCGGACGTAGTGGTGGTCGTTTTAGATGTTGTGGTAGTGGTCCCAGATGTTGTCGTTGTAGTTTGAGAGGTGGTTGTGGTGGTTTCAGATGCCGTACTAGTTGTCTCAGAGGTTGTTGTTGTCTCAGAAGTTGTAGTGGTTGTATCGGACGTTGTTGTGGTTGTTTCAGATGTTGTGGTAGTAGTGTCAGAAGTCGTCGTTGTAGTTTGAGAGGTGCTAGTAGTGGTTTCAGATGTCGTACTAGTTGTGTCAGAGGTTGTGGTAGTGGTCTCAGATGTTGTCGTTGTAGTTTGAGAGGTGGTTGTGGTGGTTTCAGATGCCGTACTAGTTGTCTCAGAGGTTGTTGTTGTCTCAGAAGTTGTAGTGGTTGTATCGGACGTTGTTGTAGTTGTTTCAGATGTTGTGGTAGTAGTCTCAGAAGTCGTCGTTGTAGTTTGAGAGGTGCTAGTAGTGGTTTCAGATGTCGTACTAGTTGTGTCAGAGGTTGTGGTAGTGGTCTCAGAAGTCGTCGTTGTAGTTTGAGAGGTGGTTGTGGTGGTTTCAGACGTCGTAGTAGTTGTTTCAGAGGTTGAGGAAGTAGTCTCAGAAGTCGTCGTTGTAGTTTGAGAGGTGCTAGTAGTTGTTTCAGATGTTGTGGTAGTAGTGTCAGAAGTCGTCGTTGTAGTTTGAGAGGTGCTAGTAGTGGTTTCAGATGTCGTACTAGTTGTGTCAGAGGTTGTGGTAGTGGTCTCAGAAGTCGTCGTTGTAGTTTGAGAGGTGGTTGTGGTGGTTTCAGACGTCGTAGTAGTTGTTTCAGATGTTGTGGTACTAGTTTGAGAAGTAGTGGTTGTTGTGTCAGAAGTTGTAGTGGTCGTATCGGACGTAGTGGTGGTTGTTTCGGACGTTGTTGTGGTGTTTGCTGAAGTGGGTGTAGTTGTTTGTGATACTTTCGTAGTGGTTATGGCTGAAACAGTAGTTGTAGTAGTTTCAGAGGTGGTCGATGTTTCAGAAGTGGTGGTTTCTGAAGTTGTTGTTGTGGTTGTTTCCGACGTTGTAGATAAGGTTGTTGCAGTTGTCGTAAAATTCGATTGTGATGCCTGTAGCGCATCTGGAAAATGTAAGTTATACTGATACAGGGTGTAATGGGAATGGTTGCAAAGCGTATGCGTTTTGAGAATATCTTTAGGGACGGCTTAATGTATACATCAGTAGGCCGGCTACAGTTAGCCCTTTATGGGTGAGTTTTATTTTGGGAAGCACGGGGAAGTTTTAGACCAAAGTAAAATCATGGAAGTTTAATGAAAGTGAGATAAGATCCGAAAGTCTGAGAGAACCTCTATATTGAACTGACGTACGTTTACTCGCTAGGTAAGACAGGCTCAAACTCAAGTATATTTCATACTTTCTATTACTTACTATTCGCAGTGACGGTAGCTGATGAGGATTTGTTGACGAGCAAAGCGACGGGTACAGCTATAGTTGTTGCCAGGATAGCACATCCAACTAAGATGGCTGAGAGAATGAGTACAAATCTACGACGTTTAGTTCTTCTCTTCTTTTCTTCTTCATCATGCCTATAAAAAAACATGGATAAAAAATGGTGATAATTGATAATAATCCACATCAGTACTAACTGCGTTACTGTATGCGATGATATAGTCGGTAACTCATCTATATTTGCCGAAATAACGGGCACACGTATCTCATTCTAGATTTATACATAGAATTAATTATGAGTTACCTATTAAAACTTACTTGTGATCTGTGAGAATCTGATGATGACACATTTATCCCTTGTATAATATCAGTGTCCTGTTTTTCAGTCATTAATACTTGCTGAAGTCACGCTTGCGATTAATTCAAGTACAATGTTTGATTAAGTAAAGCGTTTTACAGCTACGAGCGCATCACTAAGATAGCTTTTTCTCTCTCCACCTTAAACAATTTATTTACATTTCAATTAGGCCTCATTCATGCTTTTTCTCCATCAGCAAGTCTTCTTTTATTTTAATAATACAAATGGAAAGAAGTCATTTAAAAAATTATGTCATGTTCATTTTCCGTTACTAAGTATTCGTTAATGTGAAATTATCATTAAAAATCGAATCGTAAGGTTTCGACATATTTTCTGACGAAAGAGAATTATAAGCAACATTAAAGAGAATGCTAATCGACAAAATATGCAAATTGCATTAGTGATTTACTTCGACAGAAATACCATCGATATGTTATATATCATTCTATTTTCAATCTTGCTAACGAATATCGCTTTGGATACAATATCAAGAATAAATATTCGAGTGTGATTTAATTTTACTATTCCACTGAAAAGACTTTGAAAAAACTGGTTGGTTCAATTAAGACTCAACATAGACTTCAGATCTGATTAAAGATTATTTTCTTTCTTAGAAATATATTTGGGGTAAGGGTGACGATAATTCAGACATCAATACCTTCACGTCAGATTCATTTAGCCTCGAAACGTATATTCACTATACTATGAGCGTAATTCCTTTTGAAACTCACATGTCATACTTATCGTATGATAAGAATGAAGGCATTGCAAAGGTATCCAACTATTCAAATTATTTACGCTCTTTTCTTCTCTTCAAACGCACCCTTCGATAAATGTTTTGTTATCCCATTTTCCATGTCCTTTTTCTTCAACTATTATTGACTGTTCCGAGTATCCACACAATATGCGTCTCAGGTGGCGATGAAACCGTTATTAATGCGTTACTAATTAATGGCGGTCCGAATACTATCGTGTCACTTTGCGCCAATGCTGTATTCAACTTGAAAAATCCAGTTATTTTTACAGCGTACAATCAAGAACTATCTACGGATGGATATCCAAGAGATGCTACACGTGCGACTTTGATCGTGACTGGTGCCAATCAAACTGCTGCTATCATAGGCAATTGCAATCAATGTTCTGGTTTGAAACTTCGAAATATTCAAGTAAATGGTAATCGACCAGTTCTCGGTTTACTCAAAGGAAGTGGAAATATCGAAATCGGAGGTGCTACGAACAATCAACTTGTTGAATATGTGCATTCATACGAACCTCGAGGATGGTCGTGTTTACATATTACCGAAAGTGGATTAGATCGCGGTCAGAATGCCACGATTATTAACAATGATATTGGTCCTGCCGGACATCCCAATGGCGAATATGCAGATGGCATATCGATGGCATGCACAAGAAGTTTGGTTGCCGACAATGTTATCACGGATGTTACAGATGGTGCAATCGTAGTATTTGGTGCTCCATTTACAACAGTCAGAAACAATTCCATCATTGCTAAAACGCGTACACTACTTGGTGCGATCAACATGGTCGATTACGATCCATACGAAGGAGATTACACTGGTGTGACAGTCATGCAGAATACGATCCAGGCGCAGTCTGCATTTATCAAGACAGCCATTGCCATTGGACCTGCCGTTTGGGGTGCAGATGCAGTAAGATATAATCGGAACGGTGTTGTTCACAGTAACACAATCGAAGGTGAACACATGGGCTATGGTATTATCGTTTCTGGAACGCTTAATTTCACAGTTCTCGATAATAATTCGACTGCGCAGTACAGTGGCGCTTTTACTTCAAGTTGTTACACACCAAACAATGCTCCGCCAATGGCATTTCTAAAAAGTAAAAGGGCTGACGGTCAACTTCAATCCGATTTTATTCTCGGAAGAGCCCAATACATCATTTGTATAGAGCCAGGTGTTTCGGGCACCTACACTTATCAGCCAGGACAATTAGAACTATATTCGAATCAACAGATTGATCTACAAAATGCCACTTTTACTCTGCTAAATGACGGTAATTTGGTTCTTTATCAGGCTGGTATGGTCAAGTGGTCGTCAGATACTTGTTGTACCGATTGTACTAACCGGCAATGTCGATTGACATTCAATAGTATTGGTCAATTAGTACTGTACAAGAGAACAGAAATATTAGCCTTGTGGCCACCGGCATACACTGGGAATTTAGGAGATAGTTCCGTTCGTATATCGAATGCCAGTACCTATTTAACGTTTAGTGATGGTAACAACTCCATCATATGGGCATCTTCTTATGATTTTTATCCTTCGTTTCGTCTGACAAATAATAGTTTTGTTCGCCAAATGACCAACAATACTTTTCTCTATCTTGCTTTACTTAATAATGGAAATCTTGCTATCTATCTTAATGCTATCGGTACAGGACCGTTATTATGGAGTACTTCGCTCAGTGGGAAAACATGTAATAACGGCTGTTTCCTTTCATTCCAAGGCGATGGAAATATTGTCATCCATGGCGACCAAGGTGTTCTATGGGCAACGGGTACAAATCCTTCGGGAACAAAGTTAATGTTCAATACAATAGTTCCTTACTTACAAGTTTACAATTCTAGCAATGACGTTATTTGGTATTCGAAGTAAACTCAAAATCAGCTTTGAAATATTGAACACAGACGATCGAACTACCTTTTCATTTCTGAGATGTCATAGTGACATATCACTATCCAATAAAGTATTTCAAATACATTTCCGCCATCTCAGGAAAGGCGCAAAACTGCAGACACTTTCTACAGTCTCATTCTCATTTAAAAAGGATAAATGATAATTGCATAGACACATCCGAAGTGTTTCTTTTTGTGAATACCACACTGCACAGTGCATGAAATTATACCACCATTGTCCCGATATCCGTCTTTTTCGCTCTCCTTGCTGTCCTTATTTCCATTTTGATCATAACCATTGTCTTATCGACAAAACACCTACACACTACAACGCATCTATTGATATCCAACACGTCTC